CACAAATAAAATTGTGTTGATAGGGGGACGGATACTGCTAGTCTTATATCTTTCATGCTTTAAGCTCTTCAGCCCATCGATCCTTCTATTCCAAAGGTTTATTGTATTTTGTAGGTGTTTCTGATGTCTCAAGGCCACAGGCTTTATCATCTGTACCTACATCGCAGTCCCTATTTGCTTCATGTTTTTCCAGCAAGTTGGATGACAAAGTATGGAAACATCCTTCAGCAGTTGACTTAAAAGAATGACTGATTTAACGTATTAACGCTTTCTCTCAATTCATGATCAAACAGACAGGTAATCAGGCGACCAATGCCTTTGAAAAAGAAATGTCTGCCCTTTCTCGCTGTGATAGCAAGAATAAGAGAGGAAATGGGCAATTTCAATCTCATGGAACACGCAAGAGTGGCTTATCATCAAGGCAAATGCCTTTTAAGTCACCTAATCATCTTTTGGGAAACACTGACAAACAACTCCAGCCGAATGAGGAGCAAAGAGGAAGAAACTCTTCCACTCCTTCCCCCTGTTCTGAAGAAGATTTGCCTGGCTGTTTTTCGAAGAAGTAAGTGTTACTTTATGCTGTTCATGTAACATGGATTTTCTGACTTATCTATATTTTGCCTCCTTTTTCACATATTCTTCTGAATAAATCCAAATTATTGTACTTCTGTTGTGATTGCTAGAAAGACAAGTGCTTCTACCCGTTAATACTAATCAGCATATAATAGAAAATTACTTCTTCTTGTCTTTTTTGGCAAATCACGTGGGTCCCGATAGGAACTTGGTTTTTATCATCTACCTTTTCTTATAAATCGTGGCCCTCTTGCTACCAAGGATGCACAGACTCCGACACACCCCTGACACATGTCAGATATGCGAGGTTTCTTGTCCAAATTATTTTTTGGTTTTGTATTTGAATACATCACCAACATGTCAGACATATGTTGCTCACATGCTGGAATTAACAAAAAAATATTTACTCCAAATAAAAAAAATATAATGAAAAAGTTTTAAAAAAATAATATTAATTTACTCACCGTGTAAAGGGCGTGTCATGTCGATAATTTTTTAAAAATTTCATATCATCATGTCTGAGTTGTGTCATATCCTACTATCGCATCCATGTCGATACGTCCTAGCTTGTTACATGGGGTTGGTTGATGGATCCAAAGGTTTCACAAGTTTTACCTCAGGCCTAAGGCTCACTCCACATGCGCTGTTGCAACTACAAATGTTGTTAGGCAAATGTGCCTTGTCCATTCAGGCATCATCAATCTGACATAATAATCTGTGTTGTGCATATATCGCTAAGT